ATCACAGTCTATTTATCCATGATTTATTGCTGGTGAATGGACGTATATATCCATGATTTGTTGATTTAAAAACAAAAGCGTCTTCTATGTGAGTGCCTTTTGCTTTTTAAAAATTTATAACTCTTTCGCGCATGGGATATTGAATAATACCAGATATAATTAATAAGAGAATCATATTTAAATGTTGATGAAATGTCAGTTATAATTTTATTTAACTGTATTTGCTCCAATCTTCGTGTGAATCTACTCAACTTTATATATATGGTCATATTGTGAACCATATATCATCTACTCCTTCAACTCTAAATATAAAATTATTTTATAGTATAATTTACTCATAAATTATACTATAAAATAATTTTATATTTATGATCAGAAATAAACATCCATATTAATTAAATTAACCACGAGGACGCGCAATCCCACTCTTTTAACATTTCAAATGTTACCTCTCGCGAAATCTGACTTTCAGCTCAATTATTTTATTGCAATGACTTATTACTTTTTCATATTCTAAACGCAAAAGCTAGTTAATAGGCTTTTTTTTTTAATCTTAATATATTTTATCTTATAGATTTACAATTTTTCTTAAATTATTGTTATCAAAGCACACATATTTCAATACGTATAAATTTCAATTACGATAGTTAAAGAGGGTTTTTTAAATAACATAATACCCATTTTTTATGCACAGCTAATTTAAGTAGTTTTATTACCTTTTACAGATCAATCGTGTCAGCCTCGGCGTTAAGGCGAAAGGGCTACGAGGTTTTAAAATTTAAAACAGGACAAAGATCAAGTTTAATCCGATTCTCTTAATCATGATTATTGTTCTCAATATCCACGTAGTGAGTGAGACTTTTTTTGCCCTCGTTCATAAAACTAACTGGTCATTTTTTACCATTTTATTTGAGGGTAATGGGTATATGCGGAACAAATATGCTTTAAGCATTCAAAGGGCATCCGGTTTACGTCAAGTGTTTTTAAAAGATATTTTTATATAAATTGAGATAAAACTTGTTTAATATATTTATTTTGTATATCATAAAATTATTTTTAAAATTATAGTTGGTTTTTCCTAAACACCTCCTTAACTCAATATACTGCTAGCACTTAAAGTTATCAAACAAAGAAATCAAGAGATCTAAATTACCAGTAATATCTAGTCATTAGACGCAAGTTACCCAGACCAACGAACGATAGTGTTCTGTGATTAAAATATAATCGTTGATTAACCCAAGAAATGAACTGCGGCTGAAATTAATGAATCTTCTAGATACATTACTTGGATTGTTTACAATTGTGCTGTTTTTTTTTTTTTTTTATCGATTTTAAAATACCTGGCGATTCCTGGCTTAATATGAAAGGAATGGTTCATCCAATAATGCGTTAAATGCTTTAAGAAATGAAAAATCACGGATACAAAAAACTGTGCATCTAGAACTAGTCAACCCCATATACGATGTTAGTATTTCCTTAGCCGAGAAATAACGTATTTCCTACGTTTAGAAGTTTATAATGTTTTAAATTTAATTTGGAAATTCGGGTTTTATATTTCTTTAAAATTATATGAGTGAGGTTTAAATTAAAAAATAAAACTAGAACAATCCTCTAGTTATGGGGCCCGAATTTTGAAAAACGAGGCTAAAAAACAAGGTCTGTTTTACTGCCCAAATTCAATACTTTTAACCGGTTAAGTAAGCACGGCTGAGTGGCTACATCTTATGTTTTATGTTGACTGAGAAAAATAAATACTAATTTCCTATTTGAGGAGATTAAGGAAGTAAGTTAAGTTGATATATAAATAAGTGTGTTATTCCTAAAATATTGCTAATTAAGTGGCTAAAACTATAAATTAGAAGGGATGATTGAAAAAAATTGACATAAATATAAGAGATATAAATGGGGAAGACTTGAGAATTTGAGATTCATCAAAAACAAACCTCGATTTATCGGTATAAAATTAAAATCACCGCAGCTGTACTTATTTTTCGGCCAACAAACTATGGTTATTTATCCACATGCGGTGAATTTCGGTCGAGGCAGCCTGCCGTCCCTAGCAAGTGACTAACAAATGTTCCGTCAATGAAAGGGTCGTTCAGGGGAAGAAAATTCCGCGCAGCAGACGATCATCGGCGGCACATGAGATTCGTCATTGAGTTCAGAACAAAAGGAGCGTTCAAACCGATGCCCAAAAAAAAAAAGTGAGCGTTCAAACCAAAAAAGAAAAAGGCAAGAGTGACCGAGGAACGAGGGAATCGCAAGAGTCCGTCATGACACGTGTCAATTAATTAATAGGTAAGTATGTGGCCGGGGCCACGTACAAGATCACACGTGTACACCGTTGGATCAGCGACGGTGGGATGGGGCAGTTGCGCCCGACTCACGGGGCAGAGGAAGCTTGGTTTAGAGGAAACAATCGTTCTCGGGAAGAGATCTGTGATTCTGTGCGCATAATAAACAAATCCCGAAAATATAATTTGAAAAATTTAATGGGAAAAAAAAAAAGCTTAAACAAGACTAGGTCTCACATCATCATCACCAATTCACCATCATGCCTCAGTCCACGTGGGCCCCACGGGGTCGATTGTTTTGGGAGATGGTCCCACCTGTTGGGTGGCCCCCTGATAGCAAAACGACGAAAGAATCTGGGAAATTGCTGGGAAGATCAATGACGTCATAGCTTTGAAGTGAGGAAGAAGGTTTAGGGAAAAAGCGAAACCGTGGGGTTTCGAGCGGGAAAGATGGGGCCCCGAACTACTGTCGCTGGCTGGTTGAATTTTCTGCCCGTTTTCAGGAGCGTGAGTCGCACTCTGCTTCGTGGTGTCTTTTCTCTGCTTAATTCAGACAACATAGGCCATCAAAGAAAGAGTGAACCATATAAATATCACAGACGTTTTTGAAAATATTTGAGTTTTTACGAAATTCTAAACTTTTTTAATGATTTTTCTGTGACTGAGGTCGAAAACATGAAAGCTTTTAGCTTATAATCTATTAATGCTGTTTTTTATAATCTCAAAGATATAAGATACTCCTCTAATCCTATTTATAAAGTATTTTCAGTATATTTCACATAGATTAAGAAAAACTTTAAAATGTATTAACTCTCTATCAAAATATAATAATTTTTAATTTTATCCATATTTAATATATACACCTTTTAAAAGAGATAACTATCTATAATATAATAAATAAATGACAATAATATATTTACACTGAAAATTTAATAAAATGACTTATAAATAAAATAAAAAATCCTTTTTTATGTACTTTATAAATAGATTGGAGAAGTATATTAACCGTTTCAAAATATATTAACGGTTCAAGATTTTTAACGGACTTTGCTCCGCCATCTTTTATTACCTATAAGAAAATATTCATGCCATTAAACTTGTCATTGACACTCAGTTAATCCTATCTGTTTTTTAGTTGGATGTTAGCTTTCAGCAAAAACTATAACCAACAACCCGCACCTTACGTCGTTTAAGAATATTCTTTTAGTTCTATTTATAAAGTAGAAAAAGAAGGTATTTTTTTATCTTATTTATAGGGTATTAAGAATTTTTTTTATATAAACGCATATAATTTATTATTGTGTTAACTTTATTTACATGAGGTATTATATATGAAATAAGGATAAAAGTTGAAAAATTATTAAATTTTAAATAAAATTAATAAAATTTAAGGTTTTTCTTGGTCTCTACGCATTTCACCATTCCATCATAAATTTACATTGCCTTGAATTTTTAAATTTTTTAAAAGAATTTTTGAGTTCTTTAGATTTTGACCCGGTTGTTTAGTCAGATGTTATTTTGATTTAGTAATAACATGCTTCTTAAAATTTGATTTATTACAGTTTAATTCTTATAATTTTCACTCATTTAAAATTTGGCCTCCAAATTTTAAAATTTAAATCATTGCCATTTAATTTTATGAATCAAAACTATAAAAATTGAGTTACACTTAATCAAAATTTTGAAATTAAATTACACATGCCTTTTTTTATATTTTCTGGTCTTAAATATAGATTCTTATATAGATCGGAGGAGTATTTACATATATATATTTCTGTATTTTTCATGATCATTAATTTAAATTTAAAAATACAAAAAAATGTGATTAGAAATAATGGTAACCTCGTCTTGAAATTTCAAAAAACAAAAATGGCAAATCAATTTAAAAGTGGCAGATGAAAAAAAAGAGGGGAAATATACGGCAAAACTATACACATAAACTATACTAAAAAACAAAGGGGCACGCACCCAAAGCCGCAAAAAGAAGTACAACTAATTGCAACGGTTAAGCTCACGCGCAATGTAGGGGCGTGGGCCCAACTATTGTTCGCCCGGCACAAATTTGACGTAGCGGAGGAAATCTGAGAGAGGAGAGAGAAGGGGAAGATTACAAAGGGAGAAGAGAAGTGCGGTTTGGTTAAAGATGGGGCCTACCACTTTGAATTGTAGAAGATCTCTTACAATTATTCAAAAACCCTTTTATTCTTGTTGAACCACAAAATTGCCACTGGTTAGTAATTTAGTACTATTTCGGCCTGTACCTACCTTCATTGAGTAATTTATTAACAATAATGGCCGTTCGTGTAATTTTCAGCAAAGTCAGTACTAATTTCTTGAACCTCCATTACGCGATCAATAAATCTGAATTAATTAAATCAAATCAATATTAATTTGAATTTCCTAATCAATTTGATAGAGTAATTTAATTTAATAATTTGTCGGAAAAGAAATATAATATAATATTCTTTTTTTGGGCCTGAAAGATAGAAGCATTTTTTGAGCCAATGGATTCGCCCTCACGAATTTTTGTAACTCGCTGCTGTTTTTAGTCTCGGTTCCTCACAGTCACACAACTGAGCCAACAAGGCCTTCCCCGTCACCTACCCTCTTTATAAACCATCCTCTCCCTCTTCTTCGTTCCTCACGTTCACGCCACTGCCCTTTCTCTCCAACAACAGCGACAATCAAAAAATATCTTTCACTCCATTGGAATTCCTTCTACGTTCATGGAGTCTACCAAAAGACCTCCTTTCTTGGAAGAGGACCATGATTTGGCTTCCGCTTCAGACATGGAAGCTGGGTATTCTGGGTATCATAGTCACTACCATTATTACCAACACATCCTTGTATCAAGGTCCATGGGTTATGCCACCTCCTTCTATAGAACAGGCAAGGTTTGTTCCCCAAGATCTGGGAGGTTCTACGACTCCAGATTTGAAGATCACCAACCCTATTTCCTTCAGGCTTGTTTTCTCTGCAAGAAGCCCCTGGGGGACAATAGAGATATCTTCATGTACAGGTTAGCGAACCAGAGCTTTCGTTATTGATTAAACTTTTGGTTTGTGATCGGGCATTATAGTTACAATTCTATCCCAAGAACATAATTTCTCCACAAATTCTTCTCATTTCCTCTATCTTAAAAATTTGAGATCGTGCTGTTAGAAATTTTTCCTGAAATTGAGCGGGGATTAGTCTTTATTATTTATCTTGACAATCTGGAGTTTGTGGGGTGGGATTAGGTTTCAATGTCAGTTTCATTATATGATTCTGTGCGGCTCTCGTTCTGATTGCGATTTGTTAAATTTGTGCAGAGGGGACATACCTTTTTGTAGTGAAGAGTGCAGGCAAGAGCAAATAGAGTCAGATGAAGCGAAGGAGAAGCATAGAAACCTTTCTTCATCCATGGAGGCTTTGAGGAAGAAGGATCAAAATAGATCTACCTCCCCTAACAAGGCTCAGGATTACCCCTTTCGTACAGGCACAGTAGCTGCCGCTTAGTGATAAAGAAAACTAATCTAAAGAGTGTAAACAACATAAGAGTGTCTACTGCAAGGTAGCGGAAGGTGAAGAGGAAGAAGGGGCAGAGCGAAGAGCCTCGCACTAAAAGAGTTCCTCGTCTGCTTTCTTTCCCAGAGGAACAAGGGTCACGAAGAGAAGAGAGAGATCATATTGGGATTTTCTTTTAGGTGTAAATGGTATACATACCGATAACGAGTTGTGTGTTCTCAGGGGGATCCTATCTGCGAAATTGCTCTGTTTGCTTTTTAATTTCGTCTCTGGTTTTCTTCTTCCTTGTGGTTGTGCCAAATAGTTTTATAGTTTTAACTAAGAAACTGAATATCAATACAAAGTAAATTTCGTTATCTTCCTCATGGATGTGCCCAAATTTTGTTACAAAAGCTTTCATTATTTTTCTGCGTTGCTTGCCTCCCTGGTGTTGGCCTTTGAATTTGAGGAAGATGATGATAAATTTTTTCCTGCTCTATTTCTTTACCGCTGAAAAATCAGGATACTGTACATCGGTTTGATTTTGTGGTGATTTACGGAAGCTCCTGTAATCCTGCTGGTGGAAGAACCGGAGGTTACAGAACACCTGAGTAGATTTCACAGTTTAGGTATTTTCATAGCTTCGGTGTGCAAAGAAATAAAAAATACGAGGCTTGGAGGCTTAAATGTTGTCCTTGGATTTGTCGAACTCCGTGAAACTGATGGTAATTCTGCCGTAGGGTTTGGTATCAGACGTGAGGTCTGATATTTTATAAGTAACTTTTAGGGGAAATTGCAAAAAAAGACCTTCGATGTAAAAACGCAGATAGGGACCTTTGACAACTTCACTTTGGGTTTTGACAAGAATAATATGCCCTGAAGTTGTCAAAACCCAAAGTGAAGTGTCAAGGGTCCCTATCTGCGTTTTTACAATTCTAAGGTCTTTTTTTTGCAATTTTCCCTAACTTTTAACATGAGAAAATTTTATTTTGATTTACTTAAATTGTATTTATAAATATTTTTTTTTGGCCGAAGTATTTATAAATAATTGAAATGTGCACCTTTTAGTCGTAAGAAAAGGAAAATTTTATTTTGGTTATATGAAATGTGATTATAAATTATTTAACTAAATTTTGTGATAAATAATTTAATGTCATGCCAAACAAAGCATAGGAGATTCAGGGCGCAGAGTGTGTTTTTATTTGTGGGACTGGCAGGTGACGTTGGGTAAATTCAAAGGAAAAAAATCGTACGAAATATTTATCTTGGCCGGTTGTGATTTTTTTTCAGCATCAAATTCGTCGTCACTGTTTCTGCTTTGATATTTTTCCCCGTGTAAGGACAAAATTGGACTTAAGCATCGAAGAAAAAGAAGGCAGTGATTCCATTTTCCATTCAGCTTTTTGGTTTACGAGCAGGCTTTCTCTGATGTGCAACCGATAGAAGTCGTGAAGTGATTTGGTCATTGACCAGAGAAGTGAGAACATCTCGTCATGAAACGCTAACAAAACTGAACGTGTCGCTGCCGTTTTACCCTTCTTTATTCATTTAGCTTCATCTCATTTTCTGTTTTTAACAAGTTCTTTTGGAAGTTTACAAGCAATGACATGGGGACAGGCCTCGGAATTGAAATGGATGAATGGCGCAAAACCCCCGGGGGGGGGGGATCACCCTTGACGATTTAAAGTAGGGTCAGTCAAGTTATAATGTCCGCGATAAATGAATTCCGTATTGGTTTCATTCATAGTGGGCTGCAGCAATATCGTTGCAGGAGGCCTATTCAATATGTTAATTCGATGGGCCTCGGAAGTTGGAAGTCATGTCCAAACCCAATGAAGTTGTGTCATTGGGCCGTTACTGTCAGGGGGTGTAACTGTATGGTGTCTGTTGAGATGGGGAAACAAACTTTGGTGACGGTTTCCAGAAAACAATAAAGCCCATCTGCTGGTACTATTAATAGCCACAATCGAATGATGTCCTGGACGGGCTCCTTCGACATGGCTCCCTCCACAGCTCGATTGGTTCAAATTAAGCGTATATGGTGCGGTCTCCAAAACCAGAAACAAAGCAGGCTGCGGCAGAGTCATTAGAGACTATAAATTTGTTTGGATTGACTTATAAGTAGTTTTTCAAACATGATTTACAAAACACGAGACGAGATAAGTATGTAAAGAGACTTTTGTCTCAACTCACGTGAACTTGTTTAAAAGTTCGTTTTGAATAGAGCTCCATACAAGTCCTATAATGGGTCGTGGATTGCGGGTTCCACTCAAACTTTGTGCTCTTTTAGCAGCGGAAGAATGGGTTATGTTGAGAGGCTTGTGATTGGCGTGACATGGTGCAAGCTAAGCAAAGATCCAGCAACAATAGCCTCACTCTGCTCCAAAATCCAGAACATGCGAGACTTCTAGGCTATTCTTGGGATGTCCAGGTGAAACACATTTTCACAGAACAAAACCATTTAGTTGATGCTTTGACTAAGCGAGGACTAGCTTCTAATGCTCTCTTTTGGATTCCTGTCCTGTTCAGTTAGGAAATTTGCCCTTGAATCCCTTGAGTTGTTAATCTAATTTCTGGCTCATCCGTTTTTTTAACCAAAAGGAAAAAGGAGCTCGGTATCAAATTCACTATGCAAGTATGCATCGTGTCGCTCTTTTTATTTTTATTTTTTCCCCGGTGGAAAAGTATTGGGTTATTTTACGGAGAAAGAACAACCTTGCACTTTTTTCCCTGAAAAAACTAAAAAGGCGAATTCTTTTCCTTTGATCACTGATAAACACTTCCACGAGAGCCGGGGGTACCCTCCAGAATGGAAAGGTGGGATAGAAAGAAGATCAATGATCCAATCTGAATCAATCGCCGAGTCATGCATCACTGAAAGTCTGAAATACTTCATATTACAAAGCAACCCGGGGCCTGCAAGTACATATTACTCAGAGCACACCCTACTACCACGGAACACAGAACAGGAAAGAGACAGCTACAACTTTTAGAACAGAGCTTAGTATACCAACACTCCCACAAGTAAAACGAAAGATTGAAAACTATATTCAACCTTTATTCATGGTTTTATCAAATCTTAACGACAGAGTATTCCTTTTTTTTTTTTTTTTTTTTGCCTTTTCACATTCATGACTGGATATCAGAAGTTTCGAGTTCGGTTCTAGCATTTTATTTAAGACCGGGTACAACTCTCCAGCTCTCGGTGAAAACAGTGAAAGTTATCATTAAAAAAAATAAGAAAAAAAAAACCCAAGTGATAGTCATCGACTCATCGTCAATCAATATCATTCTCCAGGAGCTGCCTATTCTAACCTCTGATCGCCCACCCCCTGGTGTATGTCTGAAAGGTGGTTGCCGAGAGGAGGTTGTATTTTCTTGTAAAGATGAAACAAAAAATTAGATTAAATATTTGTACCCAGTAAATTTTCCATTAACTATTGGAGGAAGAAGTGACCAGGAAACTGAACGGCATATCATCCATCTCTGTAATCTTGTTCGCGCAATTCCCCTCTTGTTATTATCACTCTCTTTTCACTGACAAAGTTTAACAGTATTAGATTCTCCAAACATTTCAGATAATTTAAATTCTTGCACTCATTTATTCATATATATATATACTTCACACCTCAGGGAAATGGTTGCAATTTTCTCTATTTATTTATATATTTACTTCCCTATTTATTTCGTTACTCGTGATAATAGCATGATGGGGCCTTTTACGTTACGCCACCAGCTCTGACGGGTAGCTCGTGCCATGCATCAGTATTACCTAACAGCTCTCTCAATTAAGCCCACGTTTACTTCATCACCGGGGAGATAAAAACTAGACGAAAGAATGCAAGTATTGAGCAGAGAGTAACTAATCTGAATATATTAAAAAAACTAGTTAAGTTAGTTATTTGTAATAAAATACGTGTTATTTTTTAAAAATATCTTTACTAATCAAGTGTGTTGGCTAGAACTGTTATTATTATAAAGATTATCTTAATAAATAAATAAATATGAGAGACAAAATAAATTGAATCTTATATTTAATATTAAAATAAAAATTAAATAAGTTGTTGTTTAAACATAGGAGGATGCAGTACATTATCAAAGACTCGAGACGTGGAGTTTTTTTCCTTCAGGTCTAGGACATCAAATTCTTATTCACGGCTGCGCAGTCTTATCCCAGTTTCGAGTTCCTTGCTCCAGGCTCAGGGACTTGGGTGTGAGCATGCCGATCCCACGTGGATGAAACCACGGCCTTGATTAGAGTGACAGTTTTGTAAATATTTTTTGGGGGGGGTGGGTAAGGCATTCCGGCGCGGGCGGATCCATTGTCACATATTCTCGAAACCAGCCACGTGCCCACCATGATTCATTAAAACCTACGTGGTCAACTTCTGTTGGCTGCGTGCACTGTACGTTTTAGTACCGCGTTCTTCCTGATCCCTACTTCTGTATCTTCCAGACCAACGAACAACGAGGCTAGCGTGTTCTCGTTTCTCAGGCCAAGCGACGTGGCCTTCAAGTTCCGAATCATCTGCCACATGCGTTTTTCTTTCACTCTCTACTTCTTCTTCTTCGTCTGCGCGCGCCGATCGTTCTTTCGTCCATTTTCTGTGTGATTGTCGAGATCATCCTTGAAATGGTTATCCGATAAAACGTCGAGATGTTGGAGGATCAGGTGGCATACCTCTTGCAGAGGTACCTTGGCAATTATGTGAGGGGCCTCAACAAAGAAGCCCTCAAAATCAGTGTCTGGCAAGGTCCGTAAATCCTTCATTGCGTTTTTAAAGTTCTTTTACTATGCTCCTGAGTTGAAAATCAGTGTATGACCGTAAGTTCGTGACCTTCATCGAGTGATTACAAATAAGCACGAATAGTTTATAAGCGCCGTCTTCTCATTCTCAACCTGCTGGCGTCGAGAGCGCAAACCGTGACGTGCTTACCGGAAAGTAAGCGAGGGAAAAATGCGCGAATAATTGTTGCTGTGCTAGAAGGCTAGAACATTGTAGTTTCTGGTGAATTTGAGCTTTGTGCTTATGGTCAGTTGAACAAACAACTTCAAAAAGAATTGAGAAGAGATGCTAAAGAGACGAAGGAAATGGATAAATGATAGGCAGCAGTCCATCGCTTCTAAGTCAGTGAATTTGGTTTACGGTAGTGAATAGAGAGCTTGGTGCTTGTTGTTATCCGGAAAAACTAAAAAGTAAATACATGTAAAAGGAGTTTTCTTGCTCTTATGAATCTTTAGAAACTACTTCCTGTCTCCCGTGTTATTCTGTGTTGAACTCGAAGTTATATCTTGTTACTGGCAACCGGACCCAAGGGGTGGGATCAATCCATTGTATAAAGCTTGTGGTTTCTGCTGTTATTTATTTACTTATTTACCTTT